ATTAAACAAAAGATTGTGCAACAAACTTTATTGAAGTTTTAAAGTCAAGGAAATTTGCTGATGGGACAAATCGCAAAGTAGTGAAAGAAGTCTGAGTGTTTATCTAAGAGCTCAGGTTTACTCAGAAGTACACAGAGTATTCAAGTTTGATGCCAAGGATTCTTTATCAAACACTCATAGCTGACAAATGCAAACAGAATTTGATTGACTAAGATCTTTTTCTTCTCACTGTGACTTGACAGTTCAGATTCTTTTGGGATTTAAGCAGACCTGGAATGTCAGTGTGGCCTGTTTCACACTAACTGGAATTTTTTTTTGGATTATCTGAAATATATATTGATTCCTTAATCATATCTCCTAGCCATACATGTTACAGGAACCCCCAGAAAGTGGTCATAAATAGATAAAAGCAGTGATGCATACTCGCTGTTTGCTTTCTTCAAGGGTCAGAGATCAGGGGTCAGGGTCATGGTAGTTTGTCAATTATCTTGTGGTTTAAAATACCACATGTTTAAGATCCATCAAGCTGGGTGACATTTATCAACATTTTTCAAAAGTTCAGACTATTTAAGGTTTTCTAAAGTAAAAGTGCAAATTTCATTTTCAAAATCTTAAATTGACAATTTTCTAAATCATGGATATGAATAAACTGTTGAGTTTCCCAACTGCATTGCTTGTAGCATTTAATGCAGTGTTTTCTAAACGCAAAATAAAATAGATGTGGTTTAAATGGCCATCTTTGCAGCTTCCAAGTATTTCTACATCTATTAAAACAGGGGGACCTTAATTTTTTTGCAATTGGCCTACTGTTTTCCTCCTAACATTTTAAGCACTGATTTGCATAAAATAACTGCTTTTTGCTCAGTTGATCAATACATAAGGAAGGATGTCTAGAGTAAACACTTGATGTTTAAGGACCCCATGTGGCATCCGATTCCCAGTTTTTTAAAACATTGACCCAACCCTCAATCAGAATTTCTCTAAAGTAAGGCACTATTTATCTCATGGCTCCAGATTTAGACTCTTTTCTAAAGTTCCTTTCTGTTTTTGAGCGTCCGAGTTTGGCATCAAACCTGTGATTCAATTAAGTAAGCCCCTACTGTTGCTTGATTTTATTGAAATTGGGGCACATTATTTGCACTCAAATAGTAATTTTGCATAAAATTTTCAAAAAGAGAGAGAGAGAAAAAAAACAACTTTTTTTGCAATTAATTAATATGTATTATTCTATAAAAGATCATTGGGTGTAGAAAAGATAAACTTGCAAAGTAAAATATCAATGTAACCAATAACAAATCCTTTATAAGTTATTGGTCAAGTGTTTTTGATATCAGCTGTATGGTTATTTTTAGAGCTGTGGAGATGTAACGCAATATACTGACAGGTGGTTCTGTTATTGAGGCCTCCCTGGTGTTGAAATGCACAGAAACATTAGAGCTGAAAGTGGAGGGGAACCGCTTTTGCAAGCATGTCATCATTCTAGGAAAAATAAATCTCCTTGTTGTTTATTTTGATGTTTGAAAATGGGTGGGTGTAAGCGCGCTCGCCCGGTTAATAATTAGTCTGGCTGCACATTGAGGTGTCTGTGCGCTCCGGAGTCCGTTCAATTTATGTGTGTGTGTCTGCGTGAGTAATAGCGCTTCCCCGGTGAATGCCTCCCTGCAGCCCACAGCCCATTATGTGCCGCGGAGAGGCGGAGGCGAGGGGCGAGGCGGAGCGCAGAGAGCCAGCAGCACACACGCTCCATTAGCGGACCCACTGCCGCGCCGCTCTTCCGGTAATTTGCGTAACGAGGTTGGAGCGAGTTCCGCTGGCTGGCCGCGGTCTGACCGAGCGGAGCTGCTCTCCTCTCTGCTCCTCATGTTTACACCGCCTGTCACTGCGCTGCAGCCCATAGGAGCGGAGGAGGACAGAGAGACAGGGAGAGAGAGACGGAGATTAAATCTGTGCGCGCGTGTGTTTGTGTGTGTGTGCGCGCGCGGCGGACTTCCGTTCGCTTCCTTTTTATGGCTCCGAGGTTCCGTTTTCCGCTGATACTCAAGAGCCATCACGTGGGCAAACATGGTACTGCTATAAACCAGGGCGCAGAGACAAAAACATCATATCACAGAAAAGTATTCACACCCGTGACTTTTTTCCCTCGTTATTTAACAATGTGAACAGAATTTGATGTATTTTGTTGAAATATTATTTTTAAAAGTTCAAACCAATATGGTTAAACATGAGGACACTACAACTGCAATAATTTGTGCAATATATGTTGTGTAATTACCATTTAATATCCTATGCAATAACCTGTTTCTTTATATTTGATACCCAGTGCAACAGCTGTATAGATAAATACCCATCTATATAAATACCCCGTGCAATAACGCTGTATAATAATCCTGCTTTAAAAAATAGGCTTCAGCTGTCATGTATATGTATATATGTGGACGCACTACATATACTGTATATAGCCTACCCCCATACACCTTTTCCTCCTTTGATACTTTCTTCTTTTTGACTAATTCAGACAATGTAACAAGTACCTTTCTCACTGTGTGATCAATCAAAGTCAATCAATCAATCAGTCAGTCAATCAACCATCAATTAACCAGTCAGTCAATCAATCAATCAATCAATCAATCAATCAATCAATCAATCAATCAATCAATCAATCAAAAATGACGCTTGTTTTTCTTTTTTTAGAAATAAAAATATGAAAATTGTGGCATGCATTTATATTCAGGTTTTTAATGCTTCATGTAGTCTGCATGCTCTCCTTCTGCATATATGGGTTCTCTCTAGGTACTCCATCCGCCTCCTTTTGTGTTTCCAACTTATCCCTATACGTGTGGATGGTATTTCCCTCTGTTTCTAAAAATCTTCTTAAATTCTTTGTTTTTCCAACTTTCCTATTGTTCTGAGTGTTATCATGTCCAAAATTTGCTGTTAAACAACCTTTAATGCAGCCAAAGAAAGGTTAGTTGCAGATGTCAAATTTGATGAACAATGAGATGTTATTATGGTCTTTAAAGGTATAGTGGAGGGATGTTCTTTTTCAGAGTGGATCATCAAAATAAGTGGTCCTCCTAATTGCCAAACATTCTGGTGATATGTTTACTCAAGGCCGTCCTACATCCTTATCCCCATTTTCACTTACCGTTGGTGAGTCTGACATAGTGGAAAAATTGCAAATCTTCTTTTGAAAAGTAAGCTTGCATGAGCGATACAAACAACAACTTTTAAACAGAGCATGCTCAAGGAGAAATGGGCTGGTGCATGCTCTCCTACACGTTTAATAGATGTTCCATCTCGAGGGCATGTACAGGGTTGTGCTTGTGCATTTGTTTTTTAAGTGGTCTTTTGAAGAATTTCAGAAAATCCTACCTTCAAGGTTACCAATTTTATCCATTAATTGTACTTTTAAAGTGCTCTACTGTAGGCCATGTATGGATATGTTTCGGTAAGTTTGATTAATTATATTATGAATTATATTATATTATGAATTCAGAAAAACCTAACATAAATTTAAACTTGTGAAACATTTTCTAATGGACTGAAATTGAAATGACTGAAATGAAATATATATATATATATATATATATATATATATATATATATATATATATATATATATATATATACATACATCTATTAAAACTATATATATCTATTAAGTGTCTCTCTCTCTCTCCTATATAGGGAGAGAAAGAGAGAGACACTTATCCTTTTTTGCTCGATACCTGGCACTAAATCAGGCCTAAGCATTCCTGTTTCAGTTCAGCTAGGATTAACAGAATGCTTAGAACAGAATAATGACAGAATAATATCTGTCATTATTCTCAAGTAGAGAATAATGACAAATATTATTATATTTTTTTAAACTTTCTTTAAATTTACATGCACTACATTTCTTAAGTACTTCGGAAAACTGCTATTTACACTGTTTGGAGTCTAACATATTTAGCATCCTTTGACAAGATTCTCATAATACTTTGTTGCAATTTGCGATGGTTTTTTTTGTCATAAAGTAATAAAAAGTAAAAATTATCAATGTAGTAACTAGGGCTGAAACAATTAATCAGATTAATCCTGATTAATTCATTACTGACATAATCATTAACTAATATATAGACACTTTATAAAATGTTTTGAGCTGTCAGAGTAACCCACTTAGAGCTCTAATTGTATCAAAATTGTCAAAAGAAAATATATGAACATTTTACATTTAAGATAAAAAAAAAAAGGTTTTTGCCTTTCAATATGCCCTATCCAGAACATCTCAAGAGGAAAAGTTTTAGTTTTAACTGGTTTAATTTAGTAAAAAAATCTTCTTTAAGGAACCTTTGCCTTTTGCAAAATCCTCAGTCTAGTAGTTACACACTTTAAAACTTTCCATCAGACCAAAGGCCATATATACAGCAAATAAACATATCTGCCCCCTGAGAGTATTTGCAAACTTTAATGCGCCACTGACTTCTTGATCCTTGAGTGGCTTTTCGATCGATGGCAGGGAGCATTCCGACATGGACAACAAAACAGCTCTTTACAGCCTCAGAACCTTTGCTTTTACTCTGAGATTTTCTTCACACACAGAACCAATCTCTGTATGAACAGACCATACATAAGCATTAATAAAAAGATTAAGAGGCCTCTTTAGCAGTTTCTACTTTGCACCCCAGGACTTTCAGGGTTTGTGAAGGGCCACAGCTCCACTTCTTGCAGGTTTTACTTTCATTCCACCCAAAGTGTCAAAAAACATGCAATTCCACCATCAGTTATCTTGATGTTAATCTGCAGTAAAAATGACTTAAAAGTGGTTTATTAAGAGCAAAATGAGGAAAGATATTTGCTGTTGTGAAATCTAAAGGGAACTTTATAAATTAATACCAAGAAACCATAGAGAGAAGTATTAAAGGTATAAACAAACTAATTCAGTATTGTTGAAGCAATTTTTTTTATTTTTAGTGCGTGAAGTGATTTGAACAAAAAAAAATGAACACACACACTGACACACAAAGAAACCCAACTGTTATTCTGTATATTTATTGATAATAAGACCACTGATGGTGACTTAGTCAGCAGTAGACAACATGGTGCGGTTCTTGTTGAGTCTCTAGTGACCCCTAGTGTAAGCTGAATGGTATTACAGTTGTGTATTTACAGAACAAAAGATTAGAGAAGAGAGCGCAGGTAAATCTTATATCCACAAACCAAATTTACAGATTTTAAAGGAAAAAAAAAACACAATTTAATACTGAACGAAAACAATAATAATAATAATAAACAACAAAGAAGAAGAAAAAACACACCTGGAACCACATCTATGCACACACCCACACACACATAAAAAGAGATATAGAGATAGAAAACATCTGAGTAAAGCTGTAAACTAAATACCAACGAAACATAATAAGTTTAGAGCTAAACTGTGCATTATTTCTCAACTTAACATCAGCCACAACTATTAGATTTTTTTTCAGTGCAAGTTTCTTACAAACTATCAAACAAATACTGACTCTGAGCGCTAAATGCGGATTGAAAAAACGTGACACAACGGTTATACTGATTAGCATATTAGATTGTGAAACAACACATCATATAAATTACATTTCCAATACATATCTACAGATGAGGATGATGATGATGGCAGCAGCAGGTTGATGCACTACACAGAATAACTGTAAATTGTAGACGCTTGCCGAGTGATTCCTACTGATCTCTGTTTGCGACAGACTGCTGAATGTTTCACCAGAAGAAAATGACTCAAGATCCTAATCGTTTGAAGAAAAATATTGTCAAAAATAACATAAATGTTAAACACGCACAAAAAAAAACACCTTCCGATAATTTGAAATATTCTTGGATCGTCAAATAACATCCTGGTTTAAAATCTTACATGCTCAGACCCAAACAATTAGCCTTGGAGGTTTTTTTCATCTTTTTATCTGACCAACTACAGCACTATACAGTGCCTGTGTAACGAGACTGTGCAAAAAAAACAAACAAACAAAAAAAAAATACAGCTGACACATAAAATTCAAAGTCTGAAAAGACATAGTGAAATCTTTATCTAGAACTGCAAGGACTTTGAAAGATGTCCTAGCTTGTACTCATTTCAGATTTCAGAGCATTATTACTGACTGAAAAAAGCCAAATCGCAAAAAAGGGGAAAGATATACTTTCAGCTAGCTGTCCTGCAGTGTGCAGCAACAGGTGAAGTGCTACGCTGCTTTATGACCCTATTATCACCTGACTGGAACCTCAGCTTTGTGTGAAACAAATCACAGCACTAAAAACAGCTCAAATGTTTACGTCAGATCCCCTAAAGAAGTGGAGACATTTCTGTCTTTATTTTAAGAATAACCAAAAAAAAAAAAAGGAGAAAAATATATTAATTCTCTAAGATTTTTTTAAGCAGACACTGCTGCTGGGTAATTTCAGAAAGTGTTTCATGAATTTGTTGGACCTCATTTCAATTTCATTATATGAGGCCACAGTGGATTACAGGACTGTTATGATCTTGGCACTGATGACTGACTTAATTATTCATTCCATTCACCTGTCCAACTGTGCCCGGTTTCCAATCACTACTCATCTGATCCACCTGTTCCTGCCTCTATTTACATTGCTTGCATCCAGTAATCAGCACCAGATTATCATTGTTCTCTTTAGCCAGTGGTGAGAGGGGGTTTTAGAGTTCCTTGGTGTTTCTGATTACCTGATCCTGACCTGTTCTGCCTCTTAACCACTGAGCCTGCCTGTTACCGTCTGATCTCAGTGGTGAGAGTGTTTTTAGCGTACCTGAGTGTTTCTGATTACCTTTTCCTGTTCTGATCTGTTTGCCTGACCTGGCTTCGGACTTCTGGACCTCTGAGTCTGCCTGTTCCTGTTCTGTTTGCCTGGTGTTTATCATAGGCTTTCCACTGCAGTAGCCTTACTGTGAAGTTTTAAGTGTTAGTAAAATATGTGTAAATACAGGGTCTAGAATAATTACATAGCACTATGTCCACAATAAAGGCATGCAGAAAAGCTCAAGGTCACTATTTTGTAGCTTTTAAGAGTTGAAATAATTTGTGTCGGTGCACTGATACAAATCATTTAGTTTGTATTTTGTCTCATATGACAGAAATTAAGACGCAGAATTTGACTAATATATTGGAATTTAACTGGAGCTAAAACATTTCAGTCTGGGGGAAAAAAGTAAGCAAGTATCTGAGATGTTACAGAAGCTTTAGCAGATCAGATAATGTCATGTTTATATTTTTGCTGACGCTCATGTATCTATGCGTTTTGTTTGAATTTAAGGTGGGTAACCCAGCTCCGATTATTCAGGGTGTACTTTAATCCCAGGTGTAAAATCCCAGGGAAATCTACTCAGGATCAGCCTGGAAGCAAGAAAGAAGCAAATCTGGTCACTGCATCATTTTGTCAAGATACTCATAAATAGCCTTTCAACCATAGGAACAGTGTGACAAGCTTTGATGATGCATTGAAATAGGTGATATAGCGAACAACAAGTTCAGGTCACAGGTCCGATAAGCTCCCTATACTCCAATGATTAATTTCACTTGTATATCTTATTAAATACATTAAAGCATTGTTTTCGTCTAACATATATTAAGGCTAAAATGCTAAGCAAAATGTTTTTTCACAGTCTGAATTTTATTAACTTATTGGGCTTTCTATATTTTTATATATCAGCAAAAAAATATTTCTTTTTAATATCATGGTTAAAAAATACTCTACAGCGGTTCTCCCTTTCCCCACCGTCAACAACCTAGACTATCCTCCTTAGTGCACAGAATCAAGTAACAAAAGACTAAAATCCTAGGCATACACAGTGATGAGTGATAACAAATGGGAAAAAACTAAACCTACCAGTGAGAGGGTTACTTTCAGATTTTTAAGTAATGCCCTTCTGATGTCGTCGCCCTGCTCCCCCTACCTGCTGTGAGCTGCGCCGATCAGAGATAACCGCTAATGAGCAACTTTTACGCCAAGCATCAATGTGGAGCGTCATACAGAAAGCTTTGATCGCAATCGCAGCGAGTCGAGGAATGGTGCTTTACAATAAGGTACATTAAGATATTACACTGAGATCACAGGCAGAGAGACGGACAGAGGCAACTTCCGATTCAGATGTGTGATGGGACTTTAGGGAATTTACTTCGGACTTGTGGCAAGACACTTTGTCATTTCTTCTCTCCATCTCCCTGATAAGATAAAGGTCATTTTAGTGTTAGCATCAGTTTCAACCCCCTCTTTCTTCTGAGCCATGTTTTCAATAAATCTCACCTGCCACCTCACATCAGCTAGACCATCTCATACTGGTTGGCTGTGATGATCCTGGACAGACAGCAGGCCAGCAACATGCCAATCAGCTGAAATACAAAGAAAAAAAAACACACAAGAGGCTTAATAACCTCATTCTGTATGATATTATAATAATAAACTATTTTAAGTCACACTGTTCTTCTGCTTTCACCTGTGAGAAGGCAATGCCAAACGTCACTCCTGCAATGATGGCCATGTTGGTTTCCATGAAAGAGGTGACCAACTCAAAGCAGCCCTGAAAAAAGTGGGCATGTTAGTCTGCAGAGGAAACTAAGACACGTTATAAGTGCAAAATAAAGGCAAGGTGTGTGTATAGGAGATTATCTGAGGCAGCTTTTGGTGTGTGGAGAAGCCAAGGATTTGATGTGTGGTCACCTAAAGTTATGAGGTTCATTTAATGTGAAAAATGCAGAAAAATAAAACCATTAAAACGTACCTGGTGGTAGACCTTGCTTGGGGCTACAGTTGCATTGCGGAGATTTTCTGGGTTACAATCAGAGGAGTTAAAGCAGCAGCTGGGAGGGATACCGTTGGATGGGTAATACACGCTGGCAAACCAGCTGGTGTAGTTATAAACTCCACAGCAACGCAGCTAAAAATGCAAAAAAAAAAAAACAAAGAAACACAAACACTTATTCTATAGAAACATTCAAGCCATTTTATTCTGCTTATCCTGAAGATATAAAACATTGTGCTTATTTACTTATATGTTATTTCTTGTGTTACAAATTTTGTAGACTGGACTGTTAAAAAGTCCTTTGTCGTACATGTTTCCACTGAAGCCCTGAACAGAAAAAACAATGTCTGACTCTAAATAAAGTTTTGGATCTTCACCAGTTAGTAGTTCCAGTAGTGTTTAGGTAAAAAGAGGAATTTTTCTGGCATCGTGGTACATTTGTTGTGTACTCAAAAGCTGGAAAACAGTTTAAAATGTCCCCTCAACTCAAAACCCGCTACTTAAAAGCAATCTAAAAAAAATAATCTATTTATTAACACTTCTGCCACTTTTTTATAACAGTAGGACACATTCCTAGACATATGGTGCCCATATGAGACACAAACTGCCTAAAAAATAGGCCAGAGGGATAGTTTGAGTCTAACATAAAGGCATATTGATAATAGCTGCCATAGGTTTGAAGCAATGGTGGAGCCAGAGGGTTAGTTGGGGTTGCAATTGCCACTCCAGAAGAAATCCTTGTCACCCCTGTTGCCACCCAGCTGAAAACATTGCAGTGTTTGAATTTTACACAGGATCAGTGAAAAACATTTTCCTTTGCTGGTATGTACGTTTATTGGTACCAAATTTAACAAAGTGCTGTTTTAACCGGAAGTAGGGGAGATGTTGCACCACAGTGCTTGTGCTTAGTATCACCTATGAATATTACTGACTATGAAGTGGCTTGACGTTCAAAAAGAAATGTACCCACATGAAAAGCATAGGGAACTTCAGCAACTTTTAGATGTTAGGTGGGCTTGCAGCTACATTGCATTTAGAACTATGAGTGACAGGCTTCCAACAGATTTGAGTATCTGGCAAGAAATGCCACTAGAGAAGAACAGTGGGGACAGGAAAATATAAGCAAAGGGACTTTCAGCCCGAACTGACCTATAGTTTATAGGACTTTTGTTTGCTTTTTATAAAGTGTTTGGGGATGTGAAAATCCTGCTTGACATGCTCCAATCCAGAAGTCTTTATCTGGTTAGAGCAATAGATCTCATTGCTTCCCTTATAGACACGTGAGATAGTGCAGTTGGTGAATTATGGAAGGAGACGGAAGAACTTGTGCACCACTGCAACATTGTCACTGAGGCACAAAACAAAAGACACAAAAGACCAATTTCAAATTTCTGGAATCACTTGTACTGAGCACTGTTTGAGAGAGGCACTGTAAGTTTGAAACTAATGAAGAGTTCCATAGAAGTATTTTTCATCAGGTACTTGATAGTCTTGAAGCAGAAATAGATAGGCAATTTTCCAAAAAGAACTGTGAGATAATGGAAAGGGTGCGATCTCTTGAACCTAAAAGCCCATCATTCCTAAAAGAGGAGCCTCTGCTTGCTTTGCGGAAAACATTTGAGTTAGACTAAGAAGACTTTAAGCATGAGCTTCATCAAACGAGAGGGCTTCTTTCAAGAAGGGAGAAAAGTGGAGAGAGACCAGCTTCTCTAC